AACCAGCCTTCTGAACAGAAGATGCCTGAAGCCACTTCCAATCCATTCAGCTAATAGTGTCAATGGCTATTTTCCTCCTGGCCTCAGAAGGAATAAGAAAACACAGCCTGAAGGAGCCCTTGGGCCAACAAACCTCACAAAGAGAAGCTACAGCCTTGGTAACAGCTGAAATAAATTTGTCATCATTTCAAAGCATGTAGCAGGTAAAGCTGGTGAAGGTTTATCTCTAATAATGACTACAGGTTCAAAACAAAAGGGCTCAACATGGGGCCTCTGAAGCTCTACCTGGTGCACTTTGGAATGAATTTCAAGCCTCTGCATTAGAATCTGAATAAGGTTGTCTCTCTCCTCTGGGAGTGTCTCCTTAGAAAACCACATAAAAGTAAACTAACTGCTGATATTGTAAACGTATTCTAAAAAGTGTAATAAAATATTGAGAACTAAAAAAATAAAAAAAAAAAAAGAAAAAGAAAAAAGGAAAAGGACACACAGAAATAAAAACAATAAAAATAGGGCCAGGAAGATAGCTCTGCAATAGAGCAGATAAGCACCTGAGTGGTAAGCACAAGCACCACATGCTATGCTGGCCTGGAACCCCAGGCTCACTGTGCAGGCCACCTAAACAGGGCATGGTGGGCACACCTGTTATCCCAATGCTGGGGAGGCTGAGACAGGATCACTATGAGTCCAAGCTGTATAGTGAAATTATTTATCAAATAAATAAATAAATGATTTTTTAAAATTTTTAAACCAACAAAAATAACAAAAGAATGAAGTATCTGTGAAATGATTCTTTATGAAATGACACAGAAGTAATACAAAGTGTGATCAAAATATACGGTGAATGTTTAAATTTAAAAACCTTCATTACAATAGAAGACACACTGCCATTAATTTCCTTCAACTCTTCCTCATTTCAAACACACTTATCCCAAGCTCTAGGCTAGTTCCATAGAAGTTCTGGAAGTCTTCTTTCATAAGCGTCTTTATGAGGTGTGATCACAATATGGTAAATGTTCCTACCAGATGCCATCAAATGGAAAAGCATTACAAAAACATTACAGTGGGTCTTCATCCACCTTATTCAGTGGATCTGATATCATATGACTTCTGGCTCACCCCAAAGTCAAAATGACTGGGGCTGGTGAGATGGCTCAGTGGTCTAAAGCACCTACTTAGAACAAACTTAGCAAAGCACAGGGACCGCGCGCGGTTCAATCCCCCAGCACCACATGCCAGTCAGCCCCGCCCCCTGGTGGGCTGAACTGGCCACACACACACACACACACACACACACACACAAAATAATTTTTAAAAAAAATCAAAATGACTATGAAAGGTAAACATTTTAATTGATTCAGGACATTGAGACAGCCACGAGAGCACAGCTAAAGCCATGAAAGAGGAGTGCCAGGACTGCTTCGGAAGGTGACAAGCAATGGGAAGTGTGTTAGAAACAAGGGGATAGTCTAAGGGGATTAATGATATTGTATCTCTTATTGTAATGAATTTTTTAAAACATTCACTGTATTTTTCAGTTACATCTCATATTATTAAGTGGAGAAAGCAAAATAAAAAGCAATGCACCCAGCAAGTTATCACTTGCATAAAAATTAGAATTACAAACATACATATGCCCACATGTAACTCTATACAACCCATACATATGACTATTTCTGAAAAATAAAATTGATGGCACTGACTACCTCTACTACCTCTACTACCTCTAAGGAAGTGTCTCTGGCAGGCAGAATTTTCAGTTTAATCTTTTGTGCTTTTCAAATTGAGAACGCAATGAAACTTTATAGTTTTATACAGTAGCTCTGGAGCAAGTTGGTGTAGTCATTTAAGAATGTCAAGGCACTCTTCCTTTTCTTAGAATGCTGAAACCCAGGGCCTCATACATGTTAGGTAAGCGCTCTCCCACTGAGTTCCAGGCCTAACCCTGGGAGGCATTTTTTTTTTTTTTCCAGAACCAGGGATTGAACTCAGGCTCTTGTGCTTGCCAGGGAAGCGCTTATTCCACTGAGCCATCTCCCCGGGCCCCGCGAGGCATTTTTAAACCTAATAGTTACGTTTCTCTCTTCTACAGGTTTTTATTCTCTTAGAAAGAAAGCCTCTCCAGGAGGATTGCCGTGAGTTCAAGGCCAGCCTGAGCTACAAAGTGAGTTCAAGGCAGCTTGAACTTCATAGTGTAACCCTGCCACAAAACAAAAAAAAGAAGGAAAGAAAGAAAGAAAGCCAGCCAGCCAGCCAGCCTCTCACTCAACAATAAACATTACATTACTCTCACTTCAATTTTGGAGGAACATTTAAAGTCTTACTTCTCTAAATAAGCAGATAATCCTTGAATGGTCAAAAGAAATTAGATGACTTACCTGGGGGCAAATGTCCCTGTAGTAACTCTCTGGTGAAAGAGACTGCTGGGGACAAGAGGCCAAGATCTTCGCAATCAAGTCACACTTCTTCCAGTCAGCAGCCTTTGCCTCAGCATCACTCCCACCAGCTGCCCCTGCTGTCAAAATGGAAAGAGACATCAAACACCAAGGTAGTTCCCTATTAAAGTCTCCTGTGATAAATATGCCTTAGAAATATTTGTGTCATATGCAGAGAAACAAAAATAAGGACAACAGACTTCTTAACAGAAGTCAAACAATCGAGAAGACAATGTAGTAACATCTTTAAAGTACTAAAAGAAAAAATAGTAATTTTGTACAAATTGTTATACCCAGCAAAATGCCTTTCAAAAAAGCAAGGTAAATGCCAGGCACAGGTGGCACAGCCTGTTAATCCCAGCACTGTGGAAGGCTGAGACAGGAAGATCACAAGTTTAAGCCTAAAACCTGGGCAACTTAGTGACTTAGCTGGGCCCTATCACAAAACTTAGAAAAAATTTAAAAGGCTGGGAAACATACTTCAGTGTGATGGCTGTGTATTCTATCTCCAATACTGTCCAAAAAAAGGAAGACGAAGTGAAGACTTTTTCAGATAAACAGAAGCAAAAAGTCATTGCTAGTAGACCTAAAAAATGTCAAAAGAAGCAAGCACGGGTGGCTCACACCTATTACTCAGCAGTCTGGGAGGCTGAGGCAAGAAAATTGCAAGTTTGAGCTCAGCCTGGGAAATTTAGTAAGACTGTGTCAAAACAAAAAAATTAAAAATGAGCAGGGTATAGCTCAGCACAATTCCCAGTACCACAAAAGAAATTTTTTTAAAAAGTCAAAAAAATTTCAGACAGAAGAAAATTTTTATCTACACAAAATACTGAAAAACACTAGAAATGGCAAATATGAAGGGGTAAAAAGGAAAGGGGTAGGGAAGCACTCTACCACTGGGCTAAACCTCCATTCTCAGTCTGGTTTTAAAGGCAAATGCTGAGTGACTGAGCGACTCACCTCCGACTCTGACTCAAAGGGACATGGAAATCAAAGTCACAGAAAATGCAGTATCTTACCACCTGCTCCTTCCAAAATGCCCCGGACTACTGCCTGAACACCGTTGGACCTCATTAATCTTTCAGAAAGAAGCTGCCCACACAGACGGCGAAGCCAAGCTGGGGTCCGACAGCTAAGCTGTGTATTCACACCCGTGCAAGACTGATGAGGAAGAGGAAGTAGGAATGATCAACCTCAATGAAACAGATTCGACATGTAGACATTATTTTTTATAAAGTACTGAGTCATACCGGCAATTAACACTGTATTCTACACACTTCCAAAGAGCAAAATTTAGGGGACTGGGATGTATCTCAGTGACAGAGAATGTACTTAGTCCTAGAAAAAAATAAAAAAAGAAAAACTAACTCTTAACAAAACCTTTGGCACTACTTTTTTTTTTCTTAATCATTGTTTTAAAAAACTAAAAACAAGGGCCGGGGAGATGGCTCAGTGGAATAAGTGCTTCCTTGGCAAGCGCAAGGCTGTGAGTTCAATCCCCGGTTCCACCAAAAAAATAAAAAAATAAAAATAAAAAACTAAAAACAGTGAAATATCAATAAAATACAAACCCAAAGAGAAAAACATATTATGAATATAATGTACTGGAGAAGACAAAATTAATGAGCTTAATCTTACAATCAGCCCTTCCAATCAAATCTAGCTTCCAGAAAGATTTTTATGACCATTATTTCCTACTACAAGAGCACTTCACCACTGTGAGGGTCAAGTTTGGATAGTCTGATTCCTAAAACACTTCAGTTTCAAGAAAGAGTTGGTTTTCTTCTAGGACTCCTTTTTCAGAGATCTGTGGAGTCACCACAAAGCAGATTTAGCACTTTCATTCTGTCCTACAATGTTAATTTGGGGAGCTTCAGGTGTAGCTAGTGCTAGAATACTTGCCTACAACATTAAGTTTTTTGCTACAGCATTGTTGTCAACACTGTACTTTACTATATAAGCATCAAAATTAGCCACTGAAATATTTAATCCTTTCCTCAAATTCATTTGGAACCAGAAGAGACACAGAATATCAAAAACAATCCTGGAAACAAAGGAAAGCTAGGAGGTATCACAATCCCTGACCAGAAGTTATACTATAAAGCTACTGTTGGGCTGGGGTGATAGCTCTGTAGAACAAGCACTTGCCTGGCAAACACAGGGTCCTGAGTTCAAGCCCCAGTACCGCAAATAAATAAATAAATAAAAATAAAGCTACTGTGATAAAATCAGCATGGTACTGGCATAGAGACAGGCCTGAGGATCAATGGAACAGATTAGAAGATGCAGACACAACTCCAAACACACTCGGCCACCTTATCTTTGATAAAAGGGCCAAACATGCTCACTGGAAGGAAGATAGCCTCTTTAGTAAATAATGCTGGAAAAACTGGCTTTCCACATGCCAAAGACTAAAACTAGCCCCATGCCCAACACCATACACAAAGCTACAAGTCAAAATGGATCAAAGATTTAAATATTAAAACAGAAACACTAATCTTCTGGAAGAAAATCTAAGTAGAAATCTTAAAGACATAGGAGTAGGTAGAGTTTATGAACAAAAACCAAACTGCACAGGAAATACTTCAAACAACAACTGGGATCTCATCTTTTTTAAAAGTTTCTGTACTTCAAAGCAAATCTCCAACGGAGTAAAAAGAAAACCCACAAGCTGGGAAAAAGTTATAGCAGACTGTCCCTCTAACAAAGGCCTTCTACCTAGAACATATAAAGAATTTTAAAAAATCAGGCTCCCCAAATTCAAAGACCCAGTCCAAAACTGGGCATCTGAGATAAATATACACTTCTCAGAGGAAAAATATAAATGGCAAATAAATATTGGAAAAATGGCACTACAACATTTGGCCTGGTGAGATGGCTCAGTGGTCTAAGGCACCTACTTAGAACAAGCTAAGCTAACCAAAGCACAGGGACTGCGGTTCAATCCCCCAGCACCACATGCCAGCCAGCCCTGCCCCCTGGTGGGCTGAACTGGCCACACACACACACACACACACACACATAAATAAATAAAAATTTTTAAAAAAAAAGAAACACTTTTAAAAAAAGGGACTCACAAAGCACTACTATTAGCCCCCATTTTATGGCTAAGAAAGTGAGGAATAGAAAGATCTACAAACTGATACACCTGCATTTTGGGGTTGAATTCTGCTGTAGCTAACCTCAGTACGCATGCTTTTTGTTTTTAAGATGCATTGTGTTTAATCTGACAAGCTGGGGATTCCCTCATATAATAATGGAGTACGAGGCCAGAAAGGTCTGAAGGAAGCTCCAAGAACATTCTAGGGATGAATTTTTACATATCTAGGTTCATAACAAATTTTAGGTACTAAAAGCAAATAGACAATTCTATCTGCATCATTAAAGAAAATACTTTCTGATAAATAATGACTTTTAAAGAAAAACAGGATCCATTTAATGCCAGTAGTATACTAGTATGTTTTTTAAACAAAGGAACTAAGAATAGAAACAATAGCTCTAATTTTAATTTCTTGACTTCAAATACTCCCGTCAAAGATAAGTCATCCAAATACTTCCGCCAAAAGGATACACTGTCAAACAGCCAAGTTTTAGTTTAAAAAAAGACCCAGTCTTAGAATAAATAAAATGAACTTTACAGAAAACTGCTACTAGCCTTTCTAAAAGGTTATAATATTACTGGGAAAGTGATCACAATTCTATGAAAGAAAAGGTCTTTTAAATTATTTTGAGGGGGCTGGGGAGATGGCTCAGTGGAATGAGCACTTCCCTGGCAAGCGCAAGGGCCTGAGTTCAGTTCCTGGTTCTGCTAAAAAGAATAAATAAATAAATAAAAAATAAATTATCCTGAGGGTCGGGCTGGGGAGGTGACTCAGTGGAATACGCACTTCCCTGGCAAGCGCAAGGGCCTGAGTTCAATCTCCAGTTCCACCAAAAAATAAAAAATAAATAATAAATAAATTATCCTGAGGGTCAAAGTCACTTAGTTTTATGAACACCATTGAATAATCTAAAGGATGAAGTAAAGCTCAACTAGCTCATTCATTAAGTAGGAACTAAAGCCATTTAGTTTTCCAGGAGAAGACAACACACCACACACTATCAGTTAATGATTCACCCATAAGAGCCCCTGGGCCCAAATACCTGGGGAGGTCCTCCTTGGAGGACAAGTAATTCCCGCACTGCTAAAGGCTGATACGCTTGATCCAAGATGTCTCTCAAGGCCCCCCTGCATAGGGTTTGTTCCTCTTCAGTTAAAACCTAAAGGAAATATGGACTTGACTTAGCAAGATATAAACCAGGCAGGGGATAGAAGGCTTCGAAGCAGAGAGAAAGGAAGAGGAGGGAGGCCTCCTCCCTTCATTTCTTTCCACATGGAAGAGGCTGTGCTAGGAAAACACTCCTCGCTCTCTCTCCTTCCTTCACTACACTTACTGGCAAGAGGTATAACTTATCTTACTGGTAACTTGAAATACATTCATCTGCCAGTTTTAGCATATATTGTTTCATTCGGTTTTCTTTTCTCGTGGGCTATTCTGCTGTCTCACTGAGGAGGGATATATGTATGTCTTGCCATTGGGCAGAAGGCATTCTGGAACTAATGAGTAGTGTGTCTAATTCTGGAACACAGATTTCTCTCTACCTATAAGTTATCTCCTCCAACTTCAAGGAAAAGAGGTGACCTTTAGGCTTTCCATCTCTCTTATTCTGTTAACTGGTCATTTTATTGATTCAGAACTTGGCCAGCAATTAGTGGTGCTGTTTTGGGCATCCCTGAGCAAGAACCATACTGGTCCACTTTAGTGATTAGTACTCACCCTGACCCAAACAGCCATGCTCCAGTCCATATCTATTTAGCACAGAAATTCAAGCACTATCCAGGACAGTAGCTCTTGGGTTTCATCCAGCTTCATAACGCACGAAGCCTCCCCTCTGCTAACTCCCTATCCTCCCTTCCTACTTGGTTCTGTGTTTCCCTTTTCTTTTTTTGTCCATTGCCTAAGACTCTGGAGTACTTCTTGGCCTCAGTAACGGTAATAAGACCTGTGATCCAGATTCCCTTAGCTCAGGGAAGTACAGGCTGTTCACACAGCTAGAACTGTTAATACCCTGAAGTAAAAAGCACAGTGCTCCACCTGGGGCACTAGGAGAACTCAGAATTTTGTGCTGCTGCTTGGATGACAGCAGCTTTTAGGTAAAGTCTTATGAACACATGCAGGAAAGAAAGCAAACACAAAAGGAATAAAGACAACACGAGGATACCATGGACAGGTAAAAGAAAAGTCAAGGCACAGTGAGATGTGGCTGTATGGCGAAGCATTGCCCTGCAAGTGAGCCACAGGGCCCCTCAATACATTTATATATTAATTTTGTGTGTGCTGGGGATGGAAACCCAGGCCCGTGTTCATGCTAGGCAAGCTCTCTAGCACTAAGCCTCAGGCCCAGCCTGAAACAGTTATACCTTAACAGCTATTTCTGGCTAGTTCCCAGGCTAATGCCAGTAGTCCTCATGGGACCACTGGTGGTCCTCCCATATGGGACACAGTGGTCCCTGTAACATCATGCTTATGAGTAATTATCCCCAAAAACGTTTGTGAATTACTTAAAGAAGTAGACTGTAGACTAAATCTTACAATGCTGCACTCTCTACAGCAACTTGTATGGTCCAGAATTTCAGCTAGCACTCAACTGCTTACTGACAGAGTAACAGAGCAAAAAAATTTTTTTCTTGACAGAGCAAAATAAACTTGCACCCTAACAGTGAATAAAAACAATGAACACTGATTGAATGATCCTCTGAACCAAGAGCTCTACATGTTCTTTCTCATTTGATTCTCCCAAGAAATTAATGAAGAAGGTATGAATGATTTAACCCTAATATTAGCAGGAGTTACTTCCTGATAAGCACTAGCAGGGAACTTCCGTAGGTACTTAAACAGTGACCTGCCAAGGTATTATATAATACCTGTATAATACCGGCAGGTATTATACATATCACATTCAGAAACAGAGGTTCAAAGAAATGGCCTCCAATGCTATTCCACCAAATGACAAGGGACAGATAAAATGGACTCTCCAGGTGTGCAAAGGAGCAGCATCCAACAAATGTGGCTTCCAACCCCACCAAAGAATTTCATTTACCCACTGAGATGCTTTGACATTGAACACAAATTCTAGATCTTTCACTGGGCCCATTTTCAAAGAACTAAGAGTTGTGTTTAGAATGGCCATACAAAACACACACACCATCTCTCATTCAATCTCTCAATGTATGTTTACCTCTTCTGAAAGTGTCGGGGGCTTTCTTTTGGTTGGGCAGAACCCCAGTTGGCACAGGCCTGCTGCAATATCCCCAAAGTGGCGGCAGAAAATTAAGCTGCCCAGAGATGCATGTCGAGCCACATCCAGGAGAACGCTGCAAGTAGTGTACAGTCTCCGGGCTGCATGGGGGGCAGCATCCAGGCTCACCACATCTTGAACAACAGCACCAAACTCAGTCCTGCATTTCAGAGGCACTCCAACACCAGCCATGAGGTAGGGACAGACACCGAAGGTGACTACAAATTGCAAAGTGGACTGGACGGTCTTCTGTTGTGCGATACTAAGTGTATCAGGGCTCAGGGCAGGAGCGACCTCTGGGGTCCTAGGGTTGGGTTTCCCTGGGTTGAAATTAGCTGCAAGGCAGATCATGGTCTCCTTCAAGCACAACAGCAACAACAAGGTTTGAGAAGTAAAACTCCAAGTGACGTCCACGGAGCTCTGTGGCCACCCTGCCTGATTAGCGATTTCATCTCGAAGGAGTTTCAGTTTCCTCCACTGAGGATCCCTCAGAATCTTGTCCTCCAAGGCGGAGAGGTTAGATTTCAAGGTAGTCAGTAAGACATCATGCTTTGTAATCTGTAATGAACTTGAACCTGATCCTTTTGGGAAAAAAAAAGATTATGTACAAGACAAACAAACTGTACATTTCTCTGTGTAGAACACCTTGCCCACTTCCATCAAAGGGAATAAAGGTAAAGGAGGAAGAGCAGGCAGAGCATGGGATTTTCAGAGACATTAAACTGTTTTTCTTAAACAATTCTGTATGATAATAGTGGAAATTTAACATTATTCATTTATCCAAACTCACACAATTATACTGTCCAGAGTGAACCAACTGTGACAAAAGTATTACCCTAATTTAAGATGTTAATAACAGAGGAAACTAGAGTTGAGGTGGAAAAGGAGCTATAGGAATGTTCTGTTTCTTAAATTTTCTATGTTACTTATTTTTTACATATATGTAAAGACACTGTAAAAAAATAAAACATATCAGGGCTGGGGAGATGGCTCAGTAGAATAAGCGCTTGCCTGGCAAGCACAAGGGCCTGAGTTCAATCCCTGGTTCTGCCAAAATAAATAAATAAAAATAAAACATAGGGGCCAGGGATATAGCTCAGTGACACAGCAAGCATAAGGTCGTGAGTTCTATTCCTAGTGTCAAAATTTATAAATAAATAAATAAAACATATTAGGCTGAGCATGGTAGTACATGCCTGTAATCCTAGTACTCACAAAGCTAAGACAGGAGAATCACCATGTGTTTGAGGTCAGCCTGGGCTACACAGTGAGACTCTGTCTCAAAAATAAATAAATAAATAAATGCATTACTAAATTTTTTTTTAAACAGGTTTAAATGGGGCTATGAATATAGCTCAATGGTATAGGGCTTCTGTATCATGTGCATGGCTCTGGGTTCAATCCCCAGCATCACAAAAATACTGATAACCCTTAACGAAACATTTGTAAACCAGAGAGAGCAATATATAAAAAAAAATTTCATTACTAAGTGATATCTACCCCAGGAAGGCTTAGTTGGCTTAACATTCAAAACTCAATCAATATGATCTACCCTATTAACAGTTTAAAGGAGAAAAGCTATGTGACATTTCAATAAATGCAGAAAAAGCATTTGGTAAAACTCAGCTCTCATTCCTGATAATAACTCCAACAAATTGAGAGCAGAAGGGAACTTCCTCAGCATCTATGAAACACTTACAGTAAATAATATATTTAATAGTGGAAAAAAAGAGCACACAAAAATAACCATTCTTTAGGCTGGGGATATAGCTCAGCAGCATAAGCACCTGCCTGGCAAGCACAAGGTCCTGAATTTGATTGCCAGTACTGGAAGGGGGGAAAAAAAAGAATACTGTCAAAAATAACCATTCTTCAACTTCAGTTCCATATAGTACTAGAAGTCTGCCATTGCAGACAGGTAAGCAGAATCAAAAGGCATTGAGAACAGTTGTGTACAAGAGCCCAAGAGTTAGTCTGAAGTCATTCCCACAGACCAAAAGCTGGACAGGAACAATGAGTGTAATAACCAAACCATAACAAGTATACAAATTCAAAGTAACAAAGAGGCAGCTTCCGTGGGTTACCTTTAGAGATTGTTCACTTATTATTCTGAAAACCAATCAATAGAGGGACACTGTCATCCTAACTGTATTAGAATACATCAGGTACATATGCAGAGACAAAAGCTCAAAGTTGTGTATTGTTTTGTTTTGTGACAGCACTGAGTCATATTCCCAGTTCTTAGTTAAAAAAAAAAAATCTTTTTGAGACAAGGTCTGGCTAAACCATTAAATTCTCCAGGCTGGGAAAATTGAACTTTTAATTTTCCTATCTCAGCCTTTCAGACAGCTGGGAATACACAAATACACCACATGCCTTGGTGATTTTTGTTTGTTTCTGTGGGGGGTGTTTTGTTTTTGTTTTCTGAGACAGGGTCTCACTATGTATTTCAGGCTGGCCTTGAATCCACAATATCTCCCAGGATGGCCTTGAACTTGCAGTATTCCTCCTCTGGCCTCAGCCTGTACCATTCCGAGCTGGCCTTTTTTTCTTAATTATATTTTTGAATGGCCTATAGTAAACAAACATCATTTCCTTACTAACGTTACCTTCAGACTATAACACAATATATTTTATATTGCCATTTTTGTCAAAAGGGAAAATGAGGGCTAGACATACTGTGTACAGCAGTAGGGTGCTTGCTTAGCATCAAGATGCCCAATGTTTCAACTTCATCACTGCAAGGCGATGGTGGCCCACACCTATAAGCCCTGCACACTGGAAGCCGAGCTAGGAGAAATACAAGTTCTGGACCACCTTGGGCTACACAGTGAGCTCAAGGCCTGGACTACATAGCGAGGCCTTGTGGACCTCACCAAATAAAAAAGAAAAGGAAAATTAATATTTCCTAGAATGTTAATAATCATAACTTCTAGCTAATGGGATTATAGTATTTTTCAATTTTCTTTTTTTAAAAATCTTTACTGAATACTAAATGCTTCTATTAAAAACAAAAAGTATTAAGATCCTTGAGAAATAGGTCTTGCTATTATATAGCTCAGCCAGGCCTCAAACTCACAGCAATCCTCCTGCCTCAGCCTCCTGAGTGCTGGGATTAGAGACATGCCACCACACTTGGCCAACATTTTTTTATTACTGGAAATAAACCCAGGACCTGTGCACGGTAGGCAAGATTTCTACCACTACATCCCCAGACCACACTTCTTTTAAAATAATGAGAAATTGAAACTATAATATGCAGCGATAATTTTAGTTATTAAGGAGGCTAAGGCAGGAGGATCACAAGTTTGAGGCTACCCTAGGCATCCTGGTATGACCCTGTCTCAAAACAAAAAACAAACAAACAAACAAACAAAAAAAGAACTAGAGATATGTAGCTCAGAGGAAAGGCACTGGGTTCAATCCCCACTGGGGGGGGGAGGTATGGCTAGGGATAAATAACTAAAAATCAAAAGAATAATAATTTTACAGTACTTTTCTAGAACTGTCCAGGGCAAATGCTCTGACCCACTACTTTTAACTTGATTCCTTCAGTTAATATGTATCAATAAAGGAAATGAGCACTCTCATAACTTGTGGCCCTTTATCATCACTAAGCAACTTCTACACAACTTCCAGTCACATTATGGGATCTCTGAACCAAGCCTGGGACACAAAGAAAGTGACTCAACATAAGCTCTTTATGATGTTTTTCCAAAAACCTCTTTATGAAGTAGTCTTTTCTGCCCTCTACTGGTGATGAAAATAAAATCTATGGTCCTTGAAAATAAATGGAGGCACTCCCTCAAAGCAGCAGTTCTCAAAGTGTGGGACAGGGACAGGAGGGCTGCCACATTCCTCTTGGGATTCTGCAAGCTCAAAACTATTTCATAACATGGCTCAGTGTCAGAGGGCTTCAATCAATCCCTAGCCTTGGAAAAACAAAAAAACTATTCCATAATAAACACAAAGACATATTTTGGCCTTTCTTACTCTTTCATGACTGTCCAGAGTATGAGAAAAAAAAAAAATTTTTTTTCAGAGTATGAAAAACGGATTGATGAGTACAGGTTCCAAGTTGTAACAAACCTTTTAGAAATTATATTACTGAGTTTTAGTATGGTACAAAAGAAAACTACACACCACTAGGTGACTGAAATCTCTCCCTTTCCCAACTACCTATCTACGTGTGTCTAGGTTTTCTTTACTTACTTCAATTGAAATGATCACACCAAGTGAATGGAGCAGACATAAAGGTCCAGCTGGGGCAGCCTGGCACTGTAGCTCAGTGAGAGGGGGCTTGCCTACCAGCTGTAAGGCCCCAAGTTTAATACCAGCACTGGAAAAAAAAAACAAAAAAACAACTTTCCAATTATCTTCTAATAAGCCAAACATCAGCCTGGAGAGAGAGCTCAGCGGTCTAAGTGTCTGTCTTGCAAGCGCAAGGACCTGGATTTAATACGTGGTACCACATGCCGTGCCAGCCCCGGAATCCTGGATGCGCCATGCCAGCCACCAAAACCAGGCATAGTGGCATGCGCCTGTGATCGCAGCACTGGGGAGGCTGAGACAGGAAGATCACTACGACTATAAGCTGCACAGCAAGACCATGTACTAAATAAATAAATAAATATTTTTAAAAACCAATAAGCCAACCATAAAAAAACTTGAATTCACGTAAAACCATGCTGTTCTTTTCACCAGTTTACTTTGTAGTTATTTTTATTTGAAAATGTCATTAAGTTGCCAGCTATCATGGTGCACACCTATAATCCCAGCTTCTCAGATTACAAATCTGATGCTAGCGTGGCCAACTTAATAAGACCCTGGCTCAAAATAAAAAATAAAGGGGCTGGGGAGATGGCTCAGTAGAGTAAGCGCTTGCCTGGCAAGCACAAGGGCCTGAGTTCAATCTCCGGTTCCAAAAATAAATAAATAAATAAATAAAATAAAGAACTAAAGATGTTTCAACATTCTCTGTGTTCAATCCTTACCCTTAAAAAAAAAAAAAATCCTTTCTACTAAACCATTCATTATAATGGGTCTATTATTTTTAAATAAAATATTTTAACCATTTCATTAACTTAAAATCAATTTCTAATGTAGTGACATAACCCATATAAGATCTCTTCGAAGACCATTTTTACACAAGATGCAAGGAATAAGGGTAGAGAATATGGGGGTGAGGGAAGGTAATAGGTGGGATGAATATGATCAAAATACGTTAAATGGAGAGGCCAGGGAGATAGCTCAGTGGAGTAAGTGCTTGTCTGGCAAGCGCAGGGTCCTGAGTTCAATCCCTGGTACCACACACACACAAAAAAAAGACAAAACAAAGTACGTTACATGGGTATATATAAAAATAATACTTTAATACAAAATATTTTGTAAAACCAACAGGTACTAATAATAATTTTATATAAATGTTTTTAAAAGTTCTTTGAAGCCCTCACCAATTTCTAAGAGTATAAGACTCCTGAAACTAGAACTATCTTAAAATAAAGCTTGCCAAGTTGCAGTCGCTTGCTACTTCCACAGTTCCTGCCACCACAGATTTAGCACAGAAGCAGGTGCCCAGTGATGGCACTGGCTGTAGTCAAATGGCTCCAGACACAAGTTAAAGAGGCTAAAGCTGTGGTCATAACAAGCACTGGAATTAATGGGATAAGGGCTCCTTGTGGGGAAAATGGGCTCACAGTGCTTTGGCTTTATGGCAGAATGAGGTAAAATAGTCCCAGCTATCCTATTCCTCTCTTTATTCACTTCATTATTTTTAAGTCATTTTTAAAAAATTAAGGCTGGACATGGTGGAGATTGCCTGCAATCCCAGCACGCAGGAGGCTGGGGCAGGAGGATCCACTGAGTTCCAGGCCAGCCTCGGCTCTATAGTGAGTTCAAGGTCAGCCTGAGTGGCACATAGAGACCCTATCTCAAAAAATTAAAAAGTTAAGCTACTTAATAGTCAATAAATTACTCTAAGTACTTTAAATGTATATTACTCCAATCATTACAAAACCCTGGGAGGAGGGTTATACTATGCTATTACTCTTCTCATTTTCAGCCAGGTGCAGAGGTTAAGCTCTTCTCCCCAAAGCACACAACCTATAAAATGGCAGAGTCTGGATTTAACCATAGCAGTCCAGCTCCAGACTCCAGCTCCTGACCTATGACATTCACACTCAAAATCTCACCATACAACCCCAAACTGTCCTTCTCACATTTTAGAAGTACCACTCTAAAATGTCTGTCCTAGGGCCGGGTAGATGGCTCAGTAGAATAAGCACTTGCCTAGCAAGCACAAGGGTCTGAGTTCAATCCCCAGTTCTGAAAAAAAAAAAAAAAAAAAGACTGAGTAAAATGTCTGTCCTTTGTGACAAAGTATCCTGATTCATGTGGCACCTTTTACTAACTTCAAAGTGCTGTGTGAGGTGGCAGCAAGTACATGCCCAACTATAATACTCTGGAGGCTGCAGGAGGAGGGTCACTGGAGCCAGAGGTACAGGCCAGTCTGGGCAGAACACTGAGACCCTCTCTTCAGAAAACAAGTAGCCAGCACGATGGTGCACACCTCAAATCTCAGCTACTCTGGAGGCTGAGGCAAGAATATAAAAAACTTGAGGCCGTCTGGGCAAGTTAGCAAGAGGCCAATCTCAACATAAGAAAAGATGGGGCGGGGCTGGTGAGATGGCTCAGTGGTCTAAAGCACCTACTTAGAACAAGCTGAGCAGGGGCCACGGTTCAATCCCCAGTACCACATGCCAGCCAACCCTGCCCCCTGGTGGGCTGAGCTGGCCACACACACACACACACACACACACACACACACATAAATAAAATTAAAAAAAAAAAAAAAAGAAAGAAAAGATGGGGCTGGGCATGTAGCGTATCCCTCCCTGGGTTCAAGCTCCAGTATCACTCACACACACACACACACACACACACACAGCACACAAAACAACAGCAACAAAGTGCAAAGCAAAATGGTATGCAAGAATAAGCATGATGCAACTTTGTTACATATTAGTGGGATTCTCGGTCCCTGCTCTAGCCTCCCAAGTAATTAAATGTTAATGACAGATCAGTGAATCTATTTATTTTTATTTTGTTTTGAGAGACCTCACTATATAGTTCAGACTGACCTCAAACTCACATCAGGGGCCGGGGAGAGGAGATGGCTCAGTAGAATAAATGCTTGCCTGGCAAGCGCAAGGGCCTGAGTTCAATCCCTGGTTCCACAAAAAAAGAAAAAAAAAAAAAAAAAAAAACCCTCACATCAGTCCTCCTGCCTCAGCCCTGCCAGTGCTGGGATTGCAGGCATGTGGCCCCACGCCCGGCTGAGTGTGTTCCCTGCACACACAAAGCCAAACCCCTCAGCAACACCTGCCCCCAGAAAGCAGGTACACCTAATATACAACAGACTATATATACAAAATGATTGGGGCCAGGGAGATGGCTCAGTAGAATAAACACTTCCCTGGCAAACACAAGGGCCTGAGTTCAATCCCTGGTTCCAAAAAAAAAAAAAAAAAAAAGGGATATAATTTTACCACACTTTATTTTTTTCAAATGGGAATTCTTGAATTGTGTATGTTAAAGGAGTATTGCATATAATTTTACTTTACATTCCTGGAGATTAAAGAAGGCTTTTGAGACAGGGTTTGGCTGAACTCACTATGTGGCACAGGCTGGTCTGGAATTTTCAGAGACTCTCCTGCCTCAGCATTGAGTGCTAGGATTACAGGTACCACTACACCCAACTCTAGAGAGGGTTTTAATTTTTATTTTATTTTTTATGTATTTAGTACAGGGTCTACAGGGTCTCACAACACAGATTGGACACATAGTGATCCTCTTGTTTTTAGCCTCCCAAGCGCTGGGATTACAGGTGTGCGCCATCACACCCAGTCTCAACTGCAGTCACAGCACACCCTGTCTCAAAACAAAAAATTAATATTTCCTAGAATGTTAATAATCATAACTTCTAGCTAATGTGATTATAGTAGGAGTGGGGCCAGCATGGCAGGTGGAGCAGGGAATCAAACCCCAGTCCCTGAGCTTTGCCTAAGCAGGCGCTTTAGTCTGCTGAGCTATCTGACCGGCACAAGAGGGTTTTTTATAAATGAAGTATAAATGCTTTGTAATCATCAATTACTTCCACTCTTTTGCTTATTTAATCTTTTTTTTTTTTTTTTTTTTAATTTTTATTTTTTTTAGTGTGTGTGGCCAGCTCAGCCCACCAGGGGGCGTGCTGGCTGGCATGTGGTGCTGGGGGATTGAACCGCGTTCCCTGTGCTTTGTTTAGCTTAGCTTGTTCAAAGTAGGTGCTTTAGACCACTGAGCCATCTCACCAGCCCTGCTTATTTAATCTTATTCTCAGTGATGCTGTAGGTAGTTGTATTGCTAAACAAGTACTATAGCCTTTGAAACTACTTCATAGTTCGGCTTTAAAAAAAAAAAGACAAGGTCTCATTACACAGCTCGGACTCAGTGATTCTCCAGTTTTCTGCCACCCCAGTGCTGGGATTATAGGCATGTGCCACCCCCACCCAGGGGCAGGGCTGGCACACCATGTGGTGCTGGGGGTCTAACCCCAGTCTCTGCGCTTGCCTAAGCCGGAGCTCACCGGCCCTCATAGTTTGACTTTTAATTAACTGAGTGAACATAGTATATTTACTATGCTGTGTGTGTGTGTGTGTGTGTGTGTGTGTGTGTGTGTGTGTGTGTGTGTGGACTGAATCTAACAGCTTCACACCGTACCTGAACCTTGATTCTTTCAACTATAAATATGAATTCCAAGCAGCACCAATCTCTTGGAAGGGCTGAGGGTTAAATGATACACATATAAAAAGGACAGCACAGGTACTGATATTTAGTAAGGACTATTATTTATTAACTTCACGTCCCATTTCTATCGTGTAATGTTTGCAGCTGCTGCAGTTCAGGGTTAAAACTTCTGCACCAAGATTTGCAACCCTATAGGGATACCACCTCGCGGCTTTTCATGTGTCTTTAATTTACTAATTCTATGAATACCTTCCCCCAAAACATACAGTCCAATTACAAGGAAGGCCCTATTTGTTATGTCCTTTCAAAGCTCCATAGAACACCCAAGGCTCTATACTGAATAATCTGCCTTAGTCCAAAAAAACTTGGGTTCTAGATCCGCGGACCACTCCTAATACGACTTCTTAGGCTCGGACAGGTTATTTAATCCCTTCAGCGAGCCACAGGGTTCTCGTTTATATAAGGAGAGTGCACGATCCATTTACATGCACCACAAAAGATTAAGGAGACTGGAAATCCCTAAATACTATCCCCGAACCAGCTCAAACGTCATTGCTCCCTATTTCTGGCTACCCAAGCGTCTCCATTAGCCCGAACGCCCTCAAGCGGTCGTGACGTCGCACTGCCGCTCACGGGCGCCCGCACCGCTCCGAAGCTGCTTCCGCAGTCCCTACCTCACGGCAGAGCGGAATGAGATAAAGGACCCACGGCTCAGGGCACAGGGCAAGAGATGTGGGCTGGTATTCATCGGGTTCCCTGCTCTCTTTGAGCCTCAGTTTCCTTCAGTTTGAAGTGAGGCTAGACCATGCCCAAATCGCCCAGCAGCGGGGCAGAGGGTCCCGGGAGGGTCTGGGACGCTCCCGGAAGACTGGGGCCCTGAGAGTCTGGGGTCCAGCCCCACGCCAAGGTGCGTCCTCTCACCTCCTGGGCTCAGCAGCAGCTTCAGCGCTTCCAGAATCTGGTCCAGACCGCACGTCTCAAGGGTCCCTCTACCCACGACTTGTCCCGGGGCAGCCATGACTGGTGTGGAACTTGCAGTTTTGAGACCTGCTCAGACGTCTAAGTGGACCAGCGTCTCCGCCATGTTGAGTGTGGCAGACGGAGCGCGCAGGGCTGGGGGCGGGGCGGGGCCTGCTCCGGGGGCGGGGCCTGCTCCGGGGGCGGGGCCTGCTCCGGGGGCGGGGCCTGCTCCGTCGGGAACGCCCCCACGTCATTTTGGGCGGGTTTCTGAGCCAAATGGAAGATAAACACAATTTCTGACATTCAGAAAAATTAACTGCTATAACAAAAGAAGATAGAAACAAATTGATCATAATATATATTTCAACATACTGGAAGATAAAATGAGAAGATGAAGTT